TATTAGGTAAAATCATTAGTATCAATGTTGAATTTCTTGGGTGTGATCATGGTTTGTGGTGTGTAAGAGAACATCCACAAGTATTCAGGGTTAGAGCATTATGACTTAAGTAACTTACCTTCAGTGGTTGAGGGAAAAAAAATATATAAATAGATAGAGCAAATGGGGCAAAATGTGAACAATTGGTAGGTCTAGGTAAAGAATATTCATTGTACTTCCATTTTAACTTGTAAGTTGAAATGTTTCAAAATAAGAAGTCTGTCTGGGGTGGGTGTGGGAGAAGACTATTCCCAGCAGCGCCTGGAACAGTATTAACAAGGGTCATGAATTTGTTTTAAATTATGGATTAGGGGTTTTGATTGTAGCCTATGCCCCAGCTTCCCCCAAAAGTGCCTCATGATCCCACTTTCCAACAAATGTCCAGCCAGACAATCCATCCTGGAGGGCCAAGAGCATCTCACTCCCTGAGTTCAGGAGCCGGATGAATGCTAGAATACCTTAGGGGCCCAAGATCAAGCCACATTTTCCTTGGGAAGCAAGGTCCACTCTGGGGCAGGTCCAGGAGGCTGACAGAATTCCAGGCTCTCCCTAGTTGGAAGAAACTCAGAAAATCCAGCTCGCATCTAAAATAGTCCTGAGAAGTTAGGTCCATTCTGGGCCAAATCAAACTCGGCTGGTTAGGAAACAAGGTGAACCAGGCTCCATTCTTTCTCACCCGAGCCTAATGTTTCGTTCTCTTGCCGAGCAAGCCAGTGAAAGACACTTCTCCCTAGGGCTCAGTTTCTTTACTTGTAAGGTCCCAGGAAATCATCTCTAAGATCTCCTCCAGCTCTAACAAGCAGATCCTAGGAATCCTATTATGATTCCTTATCGCCCTGCCTTCTCCAGCTGTCTTCCCTCATGCTGTTTTTCTTTCTCATCTCCGTTTCAGATTCTGGACATCAATGTGAAGTCTGCAGCCCTGCTGGTAAAGGCAGTGGTACCAGAGATGGAGAAACGAGGGTACAGAGAATGAGGGAGCCTGGGTGCGGTGGGCCCCATGCGGGCTGAGGGCAGGAGTCTCTTCTGGGAAGAGGGTCATTCTCTTCTTTTTCCAGAGGCGGCTCAGTGGTGATTGTGGCCTCCATAGCAGCCTACAGCCCATTTCCAGTAAGAACCCCTTTCTCTGCTACTTCCATCCCTTCCTCCATCCTGCAGCTTTCCACCCCGCTAGATGTTTGCGTCCCCTTTTGGAATCACATCACCAAGTCCCTTCCCACAAAATAGATGTGTTGCTTCCACGAACCCCAACCTAGGGGAGGTTTAGCCATAAGACCGTTTTCTAACTGGGACCTTCCTTTATAGGAGATGCCCTATTATCTACTGCCCTTTATTATGTCTTCCAGTAAGAACCAAGAATGAACTAGAAATGAAGAGACTAACCCATTCTCTTCCTTCCACAGGCTCTGGGCCCTTACAATGTTAGTAAAACAGCCTTGGTGGGCCTCACTAAGAACCTGGCCATAGAGCTGGCCCAAAGGAACATTAAGGTGAACTGCCTGGCGCCTGGACTGATCAAGACAAACTTCAGCAAAGTGGTAAAGAGGGGGCGTCCTGCATCCTGCTTGGACCTTTAGAGGTCCTGGGTGGGGAATCCCAGGGTCTGGGTCCTGAGCACCCAATCGCTTCTGCCACCTGCCCCAGGTTTTTCTGTAGTCCCTTTCCATACCAGCCACTTGTCCAGACCAGACCCCTCCTTTTTTGAGGTGTGTGTTGGAAACTGAGGAATTCAGACTCTACTCACGCTGTTGCATATCTCCTTAAATGAATGGGAACTGGGGAGACCCAGCAAAATGCCTCACTAGAACCTGAAAAGAATGAAACAGAAAAGGGCAGTGGGGAGAGACTGGGGGCTAGGAAGGACTGGGAAGTGAGAGAAAGCATCTCTCCACCCTTCCTCTCGAGTGATATGAGAGCGAGGGCCTGCAGTTTCTCCTTTCTCTGCCCCTCCCTTTCCTCTTCTTTCACATAAAGAGATTCCCCTTTTCCCTGCAGTTGTGGATGGACGAGGCAAGAGAGGAGAGCATAAAAGAAGCCATGCGGATAAGAAGGTAAGGGTCACAGGGTGGGTTAGGAGGGACCAAGATGGAAAGGTCTGGTCCCTCACAGGGCCCACGGCTCATGTGTCTCGATCCCACAGACAACACAGGCATGCTCCCTTCTGCCTCAAACATACACACTTCACAAGTTCGCGAACACTGCATCACTACAGTGACGTGCAAGGAGTCAGCTTCCATCCTAAAAACCAAACACAGAGATGCCCAGGTTTCAGCAGAGCAGAGCTCTGGGAGAGACCCTGACTCCTCTTTCTTGCTGGCTGTTTACCTCCAGCTCAGGGCATCCCTAGCTACCAGGAGCCAAAACTGAAACCACAGCAGGCCTTTGCAGTTCCCCTTGAATAGAGTCATGTTTCCAAAGCTCAGGCTGGTGATGCTACAATCCAAACAAAAGGAATGAAGAGCTTTACTAAGTCCCAAAACTCCCGTTGTCTAAGGAAACTAGCCTCTTCCCCAAGGGACTGGCTGAACTGTTCAGGCACCTTTGTCTGGCCTCCCTTTCCTGTAAGTTCCCTGCCTCTCTCCAGCTTCTGGCTTCTGGGAACTCTCATGTCTTTAGCTTCTCCATCTTGTTCTTTAAGGACACGTGCAAGCAAGTCCTACTTAAGGAGGGAGACCCACTCAAGTGCTCCCAAAGCCATTCTGATGTCAGGCATGAGCTGCAGGGCTAGTTCACAATTCACTAATAAGTCGGGGTATTGTCATCCTAAAGCCCCCGTGATTGAGCTAGCCCCATGTTTCTCAATCTTGGATGCCCCTTAGAATCTAGATGCTGGGGTGCTTGTGAAACTACAGATGCTCACGCCCCACTCCCAGAGATTCTTTTTCAATTGGTCCAAGGTAAGACCTGGGCATCTTTTGTGTGTGTGTGGCAGTGGGTGGAGGAGGACGTTAATTCTTCCTGATGATTACAATTTGCAGCTAGGATAGAGAACTACTAATCCAAGTCTTCCAGATTTGAGGTACCCAGTCTGCCCCACCTCTAGTGTATTCTATGGCAGTTACGTTAATGTGTTCCCTAACTATGCAATCACTGATACAAACACTGAGAATTAGCACGTTCTCACAAAATGAACCTGACTCTAAGGGACAAAAATAGATTCCTGAAAAAAGTTGTCTGTGAATTGAAGCTGCGCAAATGGAGTCATTTAAAACAAACCGTTTACTGTCTCACAGACTCCCTGATGCTTGACTCATATGCACACAAGTGAAACAAATTTTTTGAAGTATGAAATAGCTGCTCCCCAGTTTATCTATATAACTTTGGATTTTGTTGTCCTGGGTTCTCTAAAAAAAACAAAGTGTCTCGATATTATTTGAATATAATGTGTAGTGTTTTATTGTAGAGTACAGTATTTATGCTTATACTAAATTATAACAGCTTATCTTCATGATAACCCTATTTGATGGACAGGAATCTTGTACACTGGTCCTGAAAAATCACATGATATTTTTTGATTAAGCAAATTTTATTCCCTGTAGGCCAGGGTGCCTGGCCTGTTTGATTTTTGCTGTCTTCCTTGTTTTCTCTATTCCACAGGATAGGCAAGCCGGAAGAATGTGCAGGCATCGTGTCTTTCCTGTGCTCTGAAGATGCCAGCTACATCACTGGGGAGACAGTGGTAGTGGGTGGAGGGGCCCCATCCCACCTCTGAGTACCTGGAGAGAGCCCACCAAGGCAGAGATTGGGCGCCAACTCCTAGTCTGGTTCCAGCAGTCATCAAAGGCCTTTCCCACCTCTGCGTATTCATACTGCTCACCCCCTAAAATCAGTGTTCTGCCCTGTGAAAAGATCCAGCCTTCCCTGTGGTCAAGGTGTGATCTTATGAGAATTCCTGCTGTTGCTCTAGCCTTGGATAAGCACTTCCCCTGAGAACACAGGGCAGGCTTGCTGAGAAGGCTGAGTCTACCTTGGCAAAGACCAACTAATTTTTTTGTGGGGGGAGGGGGGCATCTGGGGAATTTGAGGGAGATGGGAAAGAAGGAACCTGGAGCTGAAGGAGCTGGGTTGGAAATTAACAATTTGGAAATGAGGTGCTAATAAAATGCAGATGATCTTGTTGCTTTGAATCAACGTGTTCGTTTTTTCAGTGTGAGGTGCACAGGTGTGGTAGCCAAGTAGAGAGCATAAGTCTGAACAGACTGATATCTGGATTCCCCCTAACCTTCTCCCTGTCTCCAGGACCTGAGCGTAATGCTCTAGGGTGGAGGTGTCTGCAGAGCTGCCAGCTGGGAGGCGGCACGGGGACTCCCAGGTGCTACCTCTGCGAGGATGGTGCCAAGGACACCCCAGGGATCCCCAAGGGTAGGCGAGCAGGAAAGGAAGGACGAACTTCCCCAGATATGGCCAAGTCCTCTCCCGGCATCGCCCTGGGCCCCGAGGGTCAGCGAGGACGAGCTGGACACGCCCGAGCAAACGGGAAAATGGGAGGGGCCTTGCAAGGATGACCCGGGGTACCCAAGCCCACAAACGAAAGAAGTGGGTTCTGCTCACGATGACCGAGGAGTGTGTGGCACGCAAAGCAGGGACGCTGCCCCCTGCCCAAGAGATGGCCCCGGCTTCAAGCGACACGCACAGGGTGTCGCACGCGGGAGCCGGCGGGAGGGGTGGGCGCGAGCGCCCGCGGGGTCTCACGCGGCCGAAAGGCGCGGCGCGCATGCTCAGTCCGGCACCTCTCCGGGCGGGGCGAGAGACCCAGCGCTCGGAGGCGGGGGGGAGGAGCGCTCGCGCAGCCGCCCCTGACAGGAGCGGGCTCCGCGGCTACTGCAGCGCTCAGCGCCCGGGCCCTGCCGGAGCCGGGTCTAGCATGTGCCGCGGCTTCCTGGCGGCGGCGGCGGCTCCTCTGCAGCGGCGGCAGCAGCAGCGGCCGCCATGGCCAAGCCCAGCGCAGAGCTCACCCGCGAGCTGCAAGGTACGAGGCTGCGGTGGTCTCCGGGACGCCCCGTCTGGGAGCATCCCTGACCCAGTGCGTTCCTCCCCGCGGCACACCCCAGCGCAGGTGCCTCCCGCCCCCGCCCCCATGCGTCCCGGCTGCAAGGCAGCCCCTGCACCCCAGCTCGGAGCAGCTCTGTCCCCGGAGCATCCTCCGCTGCCCTCCTTGCCTCACCCTGTCAGGACCTTCCTGTCCCGGAGCCGCCCGTCCCGATCTTCAGTGACAGGTGCAGTCCCCTTGCGCTCCAGGGGCTGACTCTCAGTGAACCTGACCCACCCCTTAGCGAGGCGTCCAGTTTCCCCTACGGAGAGTCCGGGTTTCCCCACCGGGCGGAGCCAGGCCCGCCCCGCCGCACGATGGGAGCTGCCCCTGGTCCTGACCGCCTCTTGGCTCCACACCCTCCCTGCTCCCGGCCCCGCCCCGGAACTGGCCCTGGAGAGCCCCCCTATCTGCCCTGCAGCGCCCAGACCAGTGGAGCAAAGAAGGGAGTCAGGGAAGAAGGCCTGGATTCGAGCTAAATGCAAGAGCAGGGTCTCTGCAGCTCGCCTCCTACAACGCGCGTCCCAGCCTGCCCCCTTCTCAGTACCCCAACCCACACCTCAAGGCCTATCCTGTTTGCATGGTCTTCAGAATTGGCCCCAACCAAGGCCCAAGCCTCCAGCACGGCCACAACCCTGACCCCCAGAGGCTGGAGCACAGGCTAGCCCACACAGAGACCATGACGCTCAAGGATACTGAGGCATGCTGCACCGTGGCGATTTCCCACCCCTACACACACACACACACACACACACACACGCACGCACACACACACACACGCACAATCATGAGATGTGTGTACACACATCTTTATAGCACTGCACCCCCACACCTCTCTCTCTCTCTCTCTCTCTCTCTCTCTCTCTCTCTTTCTCTGTCTCTCTCGTATCTGGATGGCTCTGCCAGCAGATGGGTACAGGCTCATTTAAACACTAACTTCTTCCCACCCCCCACCCACACCAGAACCTTCTGGCTCTGTGCCCCTTTCACAACTGCAGGCACAGAATACTCATTCACACTTACCCATCCCCACCAAAGCCATACACGGGCTCCCTGGCATCTTCAGAAGGCATGCACACATGTATAGTAAAAGGCAGACATGCATACCCAGACCACTAGAATATAGTCAAAGGGACACCCCCACACCCTTACATGCTGACTCACTGTGTATGGGTCCACGGCTGCCGGAGTGAATGGGTTGGAAAAATCCTTCACACCCTCAGAAGTGTAAGACACACCCTCCCACAGACAGTGTCACTCACTGACTGTCCCTTGTCTCAGGAACATCAGGAGCCAGAGTTTTCTCCACACATACACACCCCGCCCCCAATAGGAAGAGAAAAGTCACCCAAGAAAGAAAGGTCTGTGTCCCTGTCCTTTGTCTCTCTGTTTCTCTCTCCTCCCATCTGACCCTGCCCCTGGAGAGCCTGGGAGAGATTGGGGTGCCCAGGGTAAGGAGAACTCTGAGCAGGCCCCTACCCACCTGCAGACAGCATCCGGAGGTGCCTGAGCCAAGGGGCTGTGCTCCAGCAACATCGTGTGAAGTTGGAGACGAAGCCAAAGAAATTTGAAGACCGAGTACTGGTAAGGGCGCTGGGCTTGGGACCAAGCGGAGGTATCAAGGGCAGTTAGTTAGACTGCTGAGGGCAGAGAGCCTAGAGGGCAGAAGAGACAGAAGTGGGGGAAAGCCGAGGAGACACAACCTGGGAGAGGGGCAGGCCGGACTGAGTGGATGCCCAGGAAACGAGGGGTGAGACCTGAGAGAGGCGGAGAGGACCCCAGAGCAGAGGGCCACTGCTGGCCAGGGTTACACAGGCTGAGGGAGCAAAAGGAGAGCAGGGGGATGAAGGGCCAGAAAGTTGCCATTTGCTGCTGACTTTCTTTTCCTCTCTCTGAAGGCCTTGACCTCCTGGCGCCTCCACCTGTTCCCCCTTAAAGTCCCAGCCAAGGTGAGTTAGGCTCAGGAGCAGGAGAGTATCTAGCATGCTCTCTCCCAAGCCTGGCAGCCAAAGTCTTACCATGAGCTGAGGAGCGTCCCCATTCCCCCAGGTGGAGAGCTCCTTCAATGTCCTGGAGATCCGGGCCTTTAACACGCTCAGTCAGAACCAGGTGAGCACCGAAGGCTGGGGCCCCACTATTGGGCCAGTAAGAGGATGGAGTCAGTATCTGAGGTCCTGCTGCTCCCTCTCTCCCAGATCCTAGTGGAAACAGAGCGTGGCATGGTGAGCATGCGGCTGCCATCAGCTGAGAGTGTGGACCAGGTGACACGACATGTGAGCTCTGCCCTCTCCAAGGTCTGCCCTGGCCCTGGGTGAGTGGCAAAAGAGGAATCTCTCAAGGGGTTGGAAAAGAAGAAGATTTACGCATCCCTCCCTCCTTCCCCGGGACCTGAGCTCCTGGGACTGAGAAGAGCGCTCATGTCCCCACTCCTGTTTTTTCCTGGGGATCCAGAAGCTATAACAGGGGGAAGAACTGAGAGCCTCTTTTCACCCCCTCTCTGGGATGGATGTGTTCATCTTCCAGGAGTCTAATCCGGCGTGGAAATGCAGACACCCCAGAAGGGCCCCGAGACACGTCCCCCAACTCTGAGACTTCCACGTCTACCACTCACAGTGTCTGCGGTGAGCAGGGGCAGACTTGAGGAAAGTGGGACCTACACCTCCCTGCCCCTTGTCCAGAGAGCTTTGTATATGGGGTTTCACCTGCCCTGAGGGCTCCACAGCTCCCGGACCTCAGAGGTTCATGGTGCAGCAAGAACCCAGGACACTGGCACATAAAATGACCTTGACCTTTCCTTGACCCCCAAGGCTGTTCCCCACCCCCTTGCCCCTCTTGGCACCAGCCCATCTCCTGCCCCACAGGTGGCTTCTCCGAGACCTACGCTGCCTTGTGTGACTACAATGGGCTGCACTGCCGTGAGGAGGTGCAATGGGTGCGTTGGGCAGGAACCCAGTAGGCGGGCAGGTGGGACTCGGAGGGAGAGGGTAGAGGAGGAGAAGGAGGGCAGGTGTGAGCCAGTTCCACCTCTCCAAGGATGTGGACACCATCTATCATGCTGAGGATAACCGGGAGTTCAATCTTTTGGATTTCAGCCACTTGGAGAGCCGGTAAGCTGATGGGGTAGACTCAACACCACCACCACAGCCACTACCACCACCCCGGAATTCCAGCCTCAGCCCAACCCTGGCCCTTCTAGGCTCTCCCTTCTGGTCCCACCCACAGCCCCAGCTCTATCTCCCTAACCCCACCCTCCATTGCCTTCTATCCACCCAGGCTGTCCCCAGCCCAACCATTCTATCCCTAGTCTCCTCTTTCCTGCCCCAGCTACCTGCTCACCACTTTCCTGCTCACTTCGATCTCCCCACAGAGACTTGGCTCTAATGGTGGCAGCTCTAGCCTATAACCAGTGGTTCACCAAACTCTACTGCAAGGACCTGCGGCTGGTAGGGACTACGAGGGGTGGGGGAAGGGGAAGAAGCAGTGCCCTGACTGGTTCCTGATCGCAACACCCCCTCTGTCCTCAGGGTTCTGAAGTGCTAGAACAGGTGCTACATACCCTGAGCAAGTCAGGGAGCCTTGAAGAGCTGGTACTGGACAACGCCGGACTTAAGACGTGAGGCCAGCCTCCTCCTTGGGCAGTGGTGCCCCCTTGATGTAGTCTTAGGGCCCCAGAATCTCAGAGCATGACACAGGCCTCTGAGCTATCTCATCTAGCTCCTCACTTTACAGAAGAGGAGACTGAGGCCCAAAGAGGGCAGAAAGCAAGTCAGTGGTCAAGCTGGGACTCAGAGCTAAGCCTCCCGACCCCCAGCTCCACGACCCCTCTTCCATCAACTACCGAGCAGGGTGGGCTGCTTTAGTCTCGAGGACCCGAAGCTGGGCTTTGCCTCAGCACGACTCCCCAGGTACTCCAGAGCGGTGACAAGTTCTGTGGCAGGCCCCCAGCTGCTCCCCACCATTAGGGGCCTCTGACCTTTGCCGCCCCAGCCAGATAGGCAAGTGGAGGAGGAGGGGAAGCCCAGGGGCTGGGACAAATAAATCCTTCCTCCCCTTGCCTGAAGGGACTTTGTCCAGAAGCTGGCCGGGGTGTTTGGGGAGAACGGGAGCTGTGTGCTGCATGCCCTCACTCTGTCCCACAACCCCATCGAAGACAAGGGTGAGCCCCAGCCCAGAATCCTACCCCCACCACCATGCAGACCCCCTGTCCTAGCCCAGAGCCCAACCTGGGTCTGAATCAGGGCTCTCAAACCTGAGTCTCTGCCCCAACACCGGTATCCTTGACCCCAGGCCTGTCCCCCACTGGAGCCCCTACTCTGACTCTGCACCTCCTGCTTCCACCGCCCAGCCACTCACTGGGCCCATTTCTCTCCCCATTCCCCAGGTTTCCTCAGTCTGAGCCAGCAGCTCCTCTGCTTCCCCACTGGCCTCACCAAACTGTGCCTGGCCAAGACTGCCATTTCCCCTCGAGGTATCTGCAGCAATACCCCTGACCTTTGACCTCTGACTTTCCCCAGCCCTGCCTGGGCTGTTGAGCCCCAGAGGCTTACCCACACACTTACACAGCATCCCAGGGGTCAAGGAAAGGAAAGGCGCCACGTTTTGGGAGCGGGGAAGCGTTGTATACCAGGGGGGGAGGTGGGGTTGGAGACCAACCCAGCCCAGTGCCCTCTGTGCTCAGGGCTCCAGGCACTGGGCCAGACTTTCGGGGCCAACCCAGCCTTTGCCAGCTCCCTTCGATACCTGGACCTGAGCAAGAACCCTGGGCTGCTCGCCACAGACGAGTCCAATGTGAGTCCACAGGATGTAGCCTCAAGCCCCTACAGAGGCGCATTCAGGCTTCAGAGCCTGGGGTCTCTGCCTTGTAGCCTGGGGGTAGCGGAGCTCTATCGCCCCTTCCCCTGTCCTTCCTTCCCAGGCCCTCTACAGTTTCCTGGCCCAGCCCAACGCTCTCGTGCACCTGGACCTGGCCGGGACTGACTGTGCCATTGACTTGGTGAGGGGTTGGCAATGGGGGACCAACATGGGGTGCTTTGGGGAGGCCAGGGAGGGTCTCTGCCTCACCCTCCTCCTTGAGTATGGAGGTGAGCAGAGGTGGCAGGATGGCTCCAGTTTCGGCTGAATTATAAAGCTATGCCCATAGCTGACACCTGTGTGGCACTTTATCTCTGTCACCACCCAACGTTGTGCTGGCTATGCCTACAAGCCAGCCCTCTCACTTCGTTCCCCAGCCAGAGGCCCTGATATAGGACTGAGTCCATCAGGAGGAAAAGACGCTTTCCTTAACTTGAATTAGGCACCTTATGAGCCTGTGGTGATCCTGGCTTTATACGTCCACTGTGAGCCTCTCCACTACCCCTGGGGGCCAGGCAGGGAGTAGACCCTCTTTCCACAGAGGAGAAACTGAGGCATTAAGAGGCAAAGTGGGCGTCCACAGTGGGGCTCACACAGACTGACTGCAGAAGTGAAGAGCTAGGATCTTAATGGGGGGGGGAGGAGTCCTCTCCCATCCCCCCAACGCCTGTGAGACCCACCATGTCTCTCCTCACAGCTTCTGGGTGCCCTGCTCCATGGCTGCTGTTCCCACCTAACCTACCTCAACCTGGCGCGCAACAGCTGCTCCCACAGGTGGGAGCACCGGGGTGCAGGAAAGGTGGGGGCAAGTGGTGGGTTTCCCCTCCCTCGCTGAACCCAGAGGTCTCTGCAGGAAGGGCCGGGAGGCCCCACCAGCCTTCAAGCAGTTCTTCAGCAGCGCCTACACACTCAGCCACGTCAACCTGTCAGCCACAAAGCTGCCCCTGGAGGCCCTCAGGTCGGGTGGGTGCAGGGTTGGGGGAGTGTCCAAGGGGGAACCATAAGAGAAGGGGTAAGGGGTAAAAGTGGGCCTGCTGACCTTCCTCCCACAGGGCTCTGCTCCAAGGCCTCTCCCTCAACAGTCATCTCAGTGATGTGCACCTGGACCTCAGCAGCTGTGAGGTGAGCCCTCAGGCCTCTACCCCGGCTGCCTGTCCCCCACCCGTTTCCCCACTGTTCATTTCCCTGACCCAAGTCAAACCCTGGCAACACCTTGCCTCTGTACGACTCCTCTGAGACGCCCCCAACCTGACCATACCTCCACTTTCCCCTCTCAGTTTGTGGTCTGCGACCCTGTTTCAGAGGCCGTTAGTCTCCAGTATCTCCCCGCTCGAAGCTTCGAGTTGGGAGATATCAGGCTTTCCCACCAGAGGGCAGGACAGAGCTGAATCCAGAGCAGTGGCCTGGAGCCTTTTCTGACTCAAGGAAGGGGAAAGAGCCCTAGGGAAGGATCTGGTGTGGAAAAAGGGCCGCCTGATTTTACACCCCAGACCTGGTATAACCTTGAGTGCTGGCGTGACTACTCTGGTCTCAGCATTAAAGGTGCCCTACCCTCACCCCTACCCTGCCTCGCTGCCCTACCCCACCTTGTCCCTACAGCTCCGCTCAGCAGGAGCCCAGGCTTTGCAGGAGCAGCTGGGGGCTGTCACCTGTGTGGGCAGCCTGGATCTGTCTGACAATGGTAAGTGGGGGTGCTTTTCTTCTTGGGGACTAGGTGGGGACGGGGCCTATAGTGTGGGGAGAAACCTTAAGGAGACTCCTGTGAGCCTCAGGCCTCAAGGCCAGGTCTCTCCCATCTACTGGCCAGGGTTCGACTCGGACCTCCTGACACTGGTGCCGGCACTTGGCAAGAATAAGTCCCTCAAGCACCTGTTTCTGGGCAAGAACTTCAATGTCAAGGCCAAGTGAGGCCCCCTCCCCATACCACAGACCCTCATTCCATCATCCACCTATTCTTTTGGCTCACTGTATTACCTCTGGCCCACTCCCTGCTCCTCCAATAGCATGACCTCAGCCCCCTCCCCTCCTACTCTGAGCCCTGACTCCCCGCAGGACCATGGAGGAGATCCTCCACAAGCTGGTGCAGCTGATCCAGGAAGAGGATTGTGTGAGTGACTGGGCCTGGGAGGGGACCTGCAGTGGCAGGAGCTGCGGGGACTGGGCCCAACTCCCACTTGCCCACACAGTCCTTGCAGTCACTATCAGTGGCGGACTCCCGGCTGAAGCTACGCACCAGCATCCTCATCAATGCCCTTGGCAGCAACACCTGCCTGGCTAAGGTGGATCTGAGCGGCAATGGCATGGAGGACATAGGAGCCAAGATGCTGTCTAAGGCCCTGCAGATAAACTCCTCCCTCAGGTGAGCCTCCACTTGGACCCTCTGACCTGGAGCCCTCACCCCCTCCCCATACACACATGTCCTCCCTGCTTGCCTCACTCTGTACCCTAGCTCCCAGGAGACCCTCAGTCCCAGAACCATCTCTGAGTCAGCCTCATTACCCAGGAAGGGAAGGAGAGCTCCAGACGGGGGGGCTGTGCCCTGCCCCCTAACAGGGACCCAGAGGGAGGGTTAACAAGCTATGCTCACCCCCTTCCCAGAACTATCCTATGGGATCGGAACAATACATCTGCCCTGGGCTTTCTGGACATTGCGAGGGCCCTGGAGAGGTGAGTGGACCAAGGCCCTGCCCTGACCTAAGCCCCCAGCTTCCTTGTGCCTGCACCAGGCCTGAACGACTCCAGCCCCACACCAGCCTGCTTGACCTGTTTGCACAGAAATGTTAGAAAGGGCCATGGACAAAAGAAGTAGTCAACCAGGGGTGGGTTTTGGGGAGCAGGGGCCTCTCTTCCTCAACCTCTTCCCCCACCCAGCTGTGCTACTATGTCCCACAGCAACCACACGCTGCGCTTCATGTCCTTCCCCGTGAGTGACATTTCCCAAGCCTACCGCAGCGCCCCGGAGCGTACTGAGGACGTCTGGCAGAAGGTGGCGGCCTAAGCAGGGTGAACAGCAAAGGGCAGGGGCCAGCTCACATCCCCAGGCCCTGACCCCACCCACCCCATCATCTCTAGATCCAGTGGTGCTTGGTGAGGAACAACCACTCCCAGACGTGTCCCCAGGAACAGGCCTTCAGGCTGCAGCAGGGCCTGGTGACCAGCAGCGCCGAGCAAGTAAACGTTTCCCTCTGGGACACACGGGGCATGCATGGGGCATGTTGACACAGGTGTGATGTGACAGAGTGTACAGGTGCAGGGATGGGTCATGAAAGAGGCATCTTGTGGTACCCGTAACTGGACTCAGCGTGTGGGAGAGCAAAAAGGCAGGACATTCAGAATAGGGGCCCCAACCATGAGAGAACACATAGGCAAGCAGCGGGGCCCCCCCAGACAAGGGGTGCACAGGACTGCAGGAGCCCCACTGGGCATTCAAGAAGGGATTCCCTAGAAGAAGTGAGAACAAGTCCTCCAGTGACATCACCACCATCCCATCAATGCCGGCACCAATAGCACTGCCCAAGGAGACCCAGAAATGGGGAAGATGGGAGCTGGGATCCCCCCTGACACTCCTGCGGTTGTGCTCCAGATGCTACAGCGGCTGTGCGGACGAGTACAGGAGGAGGTTCGGGCCCTGAGGCTGTGCCCCCTAGAGCCCGTGCAGGATGAGCTGCTCTACGCTCGGGACCTCATCAAGGATGCCAAGAACTCCCGGGCGGTGAGCCCTTCACAGCCCCACCCTTTCCTGACAGTCCAGAACCCAGGAAGGCCAGCTGTGCTAACCCAGGCGTGTCCACGCCCTGCCCTATGCATCTGCCCTCCTAGCACAGGGCACCCAGGGACCCAGTAAGGCCTGGCTCTGGCTTTCTGATCAGAACTCCTTCCTTCCTTCCACAGCTGTTTCCCAGCCTCTATGAGCTGGGCCATGTGCTAGCCAACGACGGGCCTGTGCGGCAGAGGCTGGAGTCAGTAGCCAGCGAGGTGTCCAAGGCTGTGGATAAGGAGCTGCAGGTAAGTCCTGAGGAGGGAACCCAGTATTGATTCAACCCCTAAACTAAGGGCTGAGGTCAGCACAGAGAGAATAATGGAGGCAAGAAGGAAATGCAGAGTTGAGACCACCCACATTCCCACTATGCCAAGACATGGCTAGAAAACTGGGCTTGGATTTTTTCTGCTAGCTTCAACCTTGGCCCCTGCACGCTGACCTCTCCCCACTGGACTCTGATCCTTGGTCAGACTCTCCCTGTCCATATGGTAAGGTGAAAGCCTGAGTGTCCAAGCCTCTGCTGCTAACTAGCCCTGTGACTACCCTAATGACTTTGGCGGGCCCCTCAGTCTCACCATGAAGGGCTGGAAGAGACAGGCTAGAGTCTCCTGGGTTTGGTGCCAGCCCTGACCCTGTTACCCTTGGGGCTTTGGCCTCCCTTCTCCCATACTAGGTGATCCTGGAGTCCATGGTCAGCCTAACACAGGAGTTATGCCCTGTGGCCATGCGTGTGGCCGAGGGACACAACAAGATGCTGAGCAATGTGGCTGAGCGCGTCACTGTGCCCCGGAACTTCATCCGCGGGGCGCTGCTGGAGCAGGCGGGGCAAGACATTCAGAACAAGCTAGAGTGAGAGCCTGGACGGGGCTGGGAAAGGGATGGATTTGACCCAGAACACTTAGGGACTTGGGGCCCAGCTCTCAGCAATGAATAATGAATGCACAATCTCCATTACAGGGGATAAATCTTTAACTAACTGCAACCTTGCTATTTAGGGTTGGACTGGTCTTTGCCCTAGAAATCTAAGTGCTGAGCCAGGGTTTAGGAGCCAGGTTTAGGAGCCGGGCACATAGTGTGCACACACACTTAGCCACATACACCTGGAGTCATCTCCTAGAAACAAAGCACAGCCTCCTTGGAGGCATGGTCAAAGAAAATCGATGTGATATGGAGTGTGTGGACAACACTCTCTCCACCCCCCCACCCAGTTTGCAACCCCAGAGCTCTTTCATTCTGGGTCTAGGTGCCGCCACTCACCAAAGCAAAGAAAAATTACAAGAACTGATTTCTGATCTTACAGTTCACCCGACACAGCTTTTTTCCGCTGGAGCTCCGGGGGCCCATCCCAGAGCCCCCATGCTCCTCCTTCTTCGGTCCTCTTTGCCCACCCTCCCAAGTCCACAAACACCTAAGCTAGAGGGTTCCATGGGTGGGACTGGCTATGCCTCTATGGACACACTAGTAGTGGACCTAAGCTGCCTCCTACAGCATCTTAGGGCCTCCTTGGACAGCCAGGCTAGCTGGCCCTCGCCCCTCAGGCACCGCGGAAGGGCAAGGCTGAGGCTCAGGGCTGGGGAGAGGTGGCTGAGCAGCCCCACCTGTGCCCACAGTGAAGTGAAGCTCTCCGTCGTCACCTACTTGACTAACTCCATAGTGGACGAGATCCTGCAGGAGCTATACCACTCCCACAAGAGCCTGGTAAGGCTTCTGAATCATAGCCAGGCTCTGGCATGCCTTGCACCTCAGCTCTTCCTGTCGCCCTCAGCCCCCTCCCCTCAAGGCCCTGGAAGGTGGGCAGCTTCCCTGGGATCCTTTTCACGCCTGTCCTTCCCTAGGCCCGGCACCTGGCCCAGCTAAGGACACTATCAGACCCACCAGGGGTGCCAAGCCAGGGGCAGGATCTGTCCTCCCGGGGCCGAGGACGTAACCATGACCATGAGGAGACCACAGATGATGAACTTGGGACCAACATCGTAAGTACCCTCACCCATAATCCCCTCCCTAACCTAGGTCCTGCCCCTGAACCTGCAAAACAGTGTCTGCCTTCCACTTCTCTGAACTCCACTGTCCTCTCACTGAACCTGATCTCACCCCCCAGCCCTAACCCGCCCATCCTCTTCCCTTGTCCCAATGCCCCAGCCACCTGAGGACAGGGAGACAGGAGGGACTGTAAAGAGAAGGCTTAATGAGGAATGGTGGCTCCAGGTGAGACTCCTTGGACTTGCAACAACCTGTCCCCACTATTCATCTCCATTTCTGCAGGACACCATGGCCATCAAAAAGCAGAAACGCTGCCGCAAGATCCGGCCGGTGTCCGCCTTCATTAGTGAGTCCCCGGCTTCCATTCTAACGGCCCTGTTTCCCTTTCTTTTTTCTCTGTCTTGCTGGCCTGTTTTCGTCCTGTCCCTTCTGCTAGTCCTTCTAACGCTGCTGTTCCCACAGGTGGGAGCCCTCAGGACATGGAAAGCCAGCTGGGGAGCCTGGGGATCCCCCCTGGCTGGTTCTCAGGACTCACGAACAGCCAGCCCACAACTGGTGGCTCCTGGGAAGGTCTATCTGAGCTTCCCACTCATGGCTATAAACTAAGACATCAAACACAAGGCAGGCCCAGGCCCCCCAGGACCACCCCTCCAGGACCTGGTCGGTGCAGCGTAAGTCCCTAAGGCCTTGAAGGAGGACCGACTTCACTTAGCAATGCCAGAACCAGGGGTTGTACCTTGAGGACCCAAATGTCAGAGGCATTGGCCTCAGGGGACCTGGCAGGGGCCTAGGCCGGCCATCAAAAGGGGAGGGACTATCCAGTTCAGATGGGAGCTAGACCTTGTCACAGATAGGAGATCTGCCTGCTAGACAGTGGTGAGGAGTAGAGCCAAGAACCAAGCTTAGGAAATGCCCAGGCAGATTGAAGTCTAAATTGCCATGGGGCCAAGAAAGGCCAGTCCAAGTCCAAAGGGGAAATCCCTGAATGGATAGGAGAGGGGCTCCCTGACCCAGATGAGATATCCTATAAGACTTTCCTCCTAGCAGGTGCCAGTACCTGGGACGCGTCAAGAGAATGGGATGGCCACCCGTCTGGATGAGGGGCTGGAGGACTTCTTCAGTCGAAGGGTCATGGATGAAAGTTCCAGGTGTGGCGCCTAAACACACTCCTATTTTCAGCAGGCCCTGAGGCCCCATGAGGGGTCCTGTGTCTGCCCAGCTCCCATGGAGGCCTCTCCAATGACAGTGCCCAAAGCCAGTCTCTCTGGGACATTTCCCCCACATTCTTGTCCTTCCCCACCCAGCCCTTATCTCCCATGCTTTCTTAATCTCCTCAGGACAGCTATCTAAAAAGGATGGGGCCACCACAGTGGGATGGTGGGGACGGGGGCAGGAGACAGGTGACAGCAGGCCCTGGGTTGGGATGACAGTTAAGATAAGAGGCCTGGAGGGCATGTTGTCAGAGAGGTCACTGCCCTGCACACAAGGAGCTGGGTCACTTGTAGATGCTGAGAGAAGGAGAGGGTGGGAGGGGTGCCTGAGAGGAAAGAGTTGGTCTGCTGGAGAATTATGACAGGGGAGATAAGGACACCATCTCCCCTGAGCGCTGAACGGAAAGGGTTACAGGATGGCAGGAGAGACTAAAATGAAAGAGGAAAGTGGGAGGTTTATGAGACCCAAGACTAAACTAACACCAGGACCACCCCGGGCCCTGAGCAACCTCTGCATCTGGCATTTACATCTCCCCATGGCTTTGTCACTAACTCACCCCACTAACTCACCCTGACCCTGCCCAGTTACCCCCGGACTCTGCGGACCCTGCGGCCAGGCCTCTCAGAGCCGCCGCTGCCTCCACTCCAGAAGAAGAGGCGCAGAGGCTTGTTTCACTTTCGCCGGCCCCGGAGCTTCAAGGGGGACAAGGGGCCAGGGTCCCCCACCACTGGGCTCCTCCTCCCTCCGCCCCCTCCCCCACCCCCAACTCAGGAGAGCCCCCCCAGCCCAGACCCCCCCAGCCACGGCAACAACTCTTCCCCCTGCTGGAGCCCAGAGGAGGAGAGTGGCCTCCTTCCTGGATTTGGGGGGGGCCGGGGGCCTTCCTTCCGCAGGAAGATGGTAAGTGAGGCAGGGGGTGCTGTGTCCTCCCTGTTTGCTGTCCCACACATAGCCCACCTGCCCATTCCACCCCAGGCAGTTAATGGGAGAATGCTAGGACTCGGGGGCTCTGGGGAACTTTGGTCATCCCAACTCCCTGCTCCTTGAGAGTAAGCTAGGCCTGGTGACCCAGAGCATGCTGGGAGTGCTGCATGCATAGGAGAGCAGTAGAAGGACTTCTCAGAGGGTCCAGGCAGGACTCCCCCACACACATCACACACACACACACACCCGCCCCCTGCAGCTGGGGACTCAGAGGGGCAGGGGCCCTTTCCCACTCCCGTGCTGCCTGTAGAGTCCCTTCTCCCTCAGGAACCTCTTGTAAACCCAAGACCTTGTTCCAGGGCACCGAGGGGTCAGAGCCAGGGGATGAGGGCCAGGACCCTGGGACGGCACAGCAGCCAAGGGTCCATGGTGTTGCCCTTCCTGGGTTGGGAAGAACCAAGGGTTGGAGCTTCGATGGGAAACAAGAGGTGAGGGGAGCCCAAGGTGATGAATTGAGGGTCCTGTGGGTTTTGTCTACCACCCTCCCCTTCCCACACCCCGTCCTTGGTGAGTCAGTGGAGAGAGCTATGCTTTGGCATTAGAAGGTGTTAGCTGCAGCTCTGCCTATGCTAGACACTTGCCATGGAATCCTGGATAGGTCACTTAACCTCCTAGAGCCTCTACTTTCTTATAAAATGAGCAGCCATAAAGATACTTAACCTCCACAGCTATTTCCAAAACTTTGGTGACTTGATTACCACCTTTAGGACTGATTTTTACCTTCTCCACATACCATCTGTGTTATCTGTGTTATCATTTACATAATGTTTTAATTTAAATCAACTCAATTTTTTTCTAACTTAGCCTGGACCTGTGCATTATCATCTTTAAAACTACAGTCATGTTTTCTTCTAGCACACATTAAAATAAACACGTCACTATTAAAGTAACTATTTTCATTCATGTAAGCCGTTTCTTATGCCCCTAGGGTGGTATGGGTATAATTTAAAAAAAAACAAAAAAAACGATACAAGGGTCTAGAGACTAATGACATAAGATGCTAGAGCAGAAGCCCCTTGCTAACGGTAGCCCCCACCTGGAGGGAAGTCTTCTGATGACCTGACTCAGCTGTCCTTTCAGGGCACAGGCCCAGACCTAGAGGGCAGCGTCCAGGCCTGGCAGAAACGGCGCTCTTCAGATGATGCAGGTGAGAATGGTCACCCTCCCTTCCTTCCTTTGACCCCTCTCTCTGGAGCCTCTCCTAATTTGCCTTTCCCCGTTTGCCATCCCCTCCCTCCACGCCAGGGCCTGGAGCCTGGAAGCCCCCACCGCCACCCCAAAGCACCAAGCCGAGCTTCAGCGCCATGCGCCGTGCAGAGGCCACATGGCACATAGGTACGGAAAGCCTCTTCTGGGGCAGCAGCACTGAAGGTCCAGGGTGTGTCTAAAGAAACCATGGTCCCTGCATCAGGGAATTTACGACTGAAGTGGGGCAGTGAGATGTGAAAATGTGTAAGGATATTTACAAAGCTACATTCAAAAGAGACAACCCAATCCAAAGAAAGGTCTTACAGAACAAGAGTAGCTTTGCCAGGATTGGCAGACAAGAACAACACTTTCTGGGTGACTGCAGGGGAATTCTCTAGGGCAGGGGCCACCTCTGGCCACGTCAGAGGAGTGGCACCCTCTATAGAGAAGGCCTCTTTCTGCACCTCATCTGGGAAGAGACGGGGCAAGTACTAGCCATGCCAGGCCCACCTCAAACATTCCAGGCTCCTCCAAAAATAGCTCACCAAGCCATCCTCAGCTCACACAGAAAGGTGCCACAAGGAAGAGGCAAGAGTCCTGCCTCAGAGGTCAGAACCCTTGGTTAGTCCAGGCTTAGCCACCACCAGCAGTGTTGTCCTCCTACCAGTCATTTACCTTCTGGCTTTGCAACTCTGAAGGAATAGAGGGGAGAGAGGGTCATGGGATGACACTTTCCTTCTGCTGGGTTCAGAGTACCTTTCATTTAGGAACTTAGGGAGCCTCTAAGAAAAAGCTGGCCAGCTCCATGTCAATTTAAGTTCCCACAGGCTTGGAATATGACCCTCCAACAATACTGACATGTAGACATAGACACTCCATCACCCTCCTCCTCTTCCACCCCAAGGCTAGGGCACAAGGGCGTAGTGCAGAGCCATGCTGGCCCTTGGCTTGGCAATGCCTGTGTTCCCCCTCATCCGCCAAGGCTGAGCCAGCACTGGGGACATCTTTGCTGGCTATCCTATCCCCCACACAAACCAGTGCCCAAAGCTAGGCTCCATCCTTCATTTAGGAGACCACAAGAGTCTCCTAATGCACCCACTGCCATCACCCTTCAGATCTCTGTCACTCATGCCTCACAGATATACACACAGACAACACCTTCCAGGTGGCATATCCTCAGGCTCAGGTTGCATAAAGCCACAGAGGTGGGGGAGAGGGGCTAATGAGGGTGCCAGGGTACCTCTCCTTGAGGCTCTCACCATCTAAATCACACTGGCGGACAAAGTCCTGGGAGTGCCAGGCTGCAGCCTTGGCAGGGCCCTGGGGCACTGCAGCTCTGGATGGGCAGCCATGCCTGTGGACCCAGACAACCCAGGCTCTGGCTCTGCCCCAGCAGGCCCTGCTGTTCAAGAGACAGCCAGGTCCGAGCTCCCCACCCCACCCCTCCAAAGGTGACAGGCTCAGGGTGGTCCTGAAGACCCAAGGCTAAGGACACGTGAGAGCAGAAGGAGATATCTAAGGCAGAAGCATAGGCGCAAATGGGCTCGGAGGGGGACGTCCTGGCCTCCAGGGCTTCATAGGGACAGGGAGGGCTATGCAAGAATGCCTTTCCTGCAGTGTCTCCTCTCTTCCCATCCCCCAGCTGAGGAGAGTGCCCCCAGCCACAGCTGTCAGAGCCCCAGCCCAGCCTCCCAAGATGGGGAAGAGGAAAAGGAGGGGGCCATATTCCCTGAGAGGACTGTTCCTGCTAGGAATGCCAAGGTGAGGGCTGGCAAGGTGGGTGGGGAAGGCACTTTGATGAGGCAAAAGGACTAACTGACCTAGCATCTTCCTCTTCTGTCAGCTGCAGGACCCCCCTTTAGCTCCACGGCCCCCCAAGCCGGTGGCTGTGCCCAGGGGCCACCGCCCCACCCAGGAGCCAGGGGGCAAGGAGGAGACTGAGGCTGGGGGTGCAGCCCCAGGAATGAACAAACCCCGGCTGAGGCTGGGCTCACAGCAGGACCAAGAGGAGCCTGAGGTCCAAGGTCTGCCACCTGGCTAGAGCGGGGCTCAGGATGCCTCTGGGACCCTGCTGCCCACACCGGGTCCCCACCCCAGGCACGAAATGAGTCACAGCCTGGATGAGCACCTAGCCTGTGAGCCCCACTCATGTGCCAGGCCTGCCTTGACTGTCATTTCAGGGCCCCTGGATCCAGGCCGCCGAACTGCCCCCCTGAAGCCCAAGAGAACACGGCGGGCACAGTCCTGTGACAAGCTGGAGCCTGATAGAAGACGGCCGCCTGACCCCACAGGTGCCGGCGGGGTGGTTAGGAGTGCAGTCCCCCTTCCCACCCATCTGTCCAACATGGCGAGCCCCACGCTGGGTGGCTGGCTCCCTCTGCCCAGGAAACAGGGCTTCCTGGATTTGTCCCCAGCAGGAGCCAGTGAGCCAGGAACAGACTGACAGCCACCGCAGTACACTCTCCAGCCCTCCTCTCAACATGTGCCTCACAAGGACTGACCCCCACCCACCCCCGCACCTCAGGCCGCTCTGCCAGCCCATTCCCCAGGGGCAGGATGGCAGGATGAGGCATGGGGGACAGGAGGTGGGGGACAGAAAGGGAGGGAGCAACCTGGAGAGAGGGAGGCTCTCGATGCCTCGCTCCCTCAGCAGAGAGCTTCGGAGTGGTGGTCACTCCCTCACAGGAGGGCTGATCTATCCCTCTGTCCCCAGGGGCTCTCTCCCCACTTGTATAGAATAAAAAGGAAAAAAAACCACTGCCTGCCTGGAGTTCCTGCTGTCTTCCCCGTTCACTGCCCCCACCCCTCACCATCTGTTCCCCTTCAGTGCTTGGCCTCAGTGGGGAAAACTGAGGAACACCTTACGGGGATGGGGCTGGGCTCTGAGTGGACCAGAAAACTGATGGATAGGCAGGAGGGGACTGAGAAGTCCCCAAGGCAGGATGGGTGTCACGTGCAGGATCTGGGCTGAGCTGGCTGGAGAAGGAACAAAAATGACAGAAACCAACACCAGTGTGTGTCCAGTTTTGGGGGGTGCGGTGGGATTAGGAGACCCCAGTGTACCAGGAGGAGATTGGGGAGCAGTATGCTGTGTGTGTGTGTGTGTGTGTGTGTGTGTGTGTGTGTTTATACACAGCAGGCTCACTAATGGTGGGATTCAATGGTGGTGTGGCATCCTGGGAGCACCATCCATAGAAATCTCAACAGCAGAGTAGCCTGAAGGTGAACAGAAGTGTCTATGGTGTGAGAAGAGCAACGATTAAATTAATTGTTTCCCATTGGTGTGCTACCAAATACTAGCTCGGAATTCAAGACTCCCACTCAAGAGCCTCCTCCTTTGTGAAGCCCTCCCTGATGCCTTCCCCCAACTCGTCCAAATTGAACCCTCCCTCTTTGTGACCCACTGCATCCTGAACAGGTCCATACCTTTGCACCTGTCACACTTAATTGCACTTGTGTATTGACTCATCTCCCTGTCTGTGGGCTGGTCTGTTCTATATACACGTGCCTCTCCCAGGGACAGGAGCTGTGTCTTAATCACCTATGTAGTTCCAGCCCCTGGCACGGTGCCTGGCACCCAGGAGATGCTTAGTAAACGGCTGCTACCTTAATATATGAGCAGCTGAGGGGATGCAGGGTGCAGGTATTCTGGTGACCCCTATTGTGTATGCATCCCACATCACCATGTACCCAAATGTCTCCACGTGTTGCATACAGCTCGTAGACAATTGCTCACTTCCCCTCGTCTCACTAGGGAATGACACATCTTGTTTCTTCAAGATCTGTGCATGACATGGCCCCTCCTACAAAGACATGGCAATATGGGTTTAATCTCAGGGCAGGGGGTAAATTGTGGGCACTAGGAATGCCTCGGGAATCAGTCTTTCTCTACATCTCCCCACTGGGCAGCCCTGTCTTCAGGGGGCTGTGTGACCAGGATGTGAGACTGCGCCCTTACACAATATTGTGTCCATTTCCTTGTGTCTCCCTGTTAAAAGGTGGCTAGGACACTGGAGCTCATTCTCAGAGCTATGAGATTCAAGCGTGGTATGTGATGGTTTTCAAGGAGCACGTGAAGATCTCCATTCTGTTGTATTTGGGTTAGTGTGAGTGTGTGTGTGTGTGTGTGTGTGTGTGTGTGTGACAAGTATAGCCCAGTGTTCTTTTATATGTGACTGCAAATATCCTTAACAAGTATGATGTGGAGAGTGTTGTGAGACTGGTTGTGTTTCCCTGTGTGTATCTGTAGGGCTGTAACTGCCGTGGTGTCACAGTGAGTTTATGTGCTGGCGCCTGTGCGTGTCAAGATAGGTGTGAGCCTGGGAGTCGTGGGTGCGTGTCTCCATCATTTTCTGGTGTGAATGTGTGTGTGGCGCGCACCGCCACAATGCGTGTATCTCTGTGATGCTGGGTGTGGGTGTGGGTGTGGCATGAAGGGGAAGATGTGTGTCACTGTGTCTGTGGGGGTCCTGCCTCTGAGCCACCCGGAGCCCACCCTCCTCCCCCGGTTCTGTGACTCTCTCCCAGGCAGTGGCCTTGCCCCTCCTCTCTTCTCCCTCCCAACCGGTCTGTGCCCGGGGAGCTGGTGCTGCCGCCCCCCCTCCCCATCCAGGCCCCATAAATAGCAGCAGAGCCAGAGCCGGAGCTGGCACCAGCGGCTGGAGCAGCGAGGGAGTCGGGGCCGGGGCCAGAGCCGGAGAGAGGAGCCCCCTGACTAGAGCCCAGGTGAGCCTCCCCTTCCTCCCTAGCCCAGCCCTGCCCAGCCCAGCCCGGCCCAGTCTCCATAACATCATCTCCCCCAGCCCCCAGAAAGGTCTCTACTCCTGCCTGATCCCCTAACCACCACATGCCCCTGCCCATCTCAGGGGACCTGCGGGAACTGAGTGACTCATGGCCAAAAGGCAGAGACCCCCCCCAACCCAAATCCTCCTCACAGATCCAGAAAGGCATCCGCTGTGGGGAGAGGGTACTCAGCCAGAGAAGGGTCCCATTTCTGAGGAAGGTACGTACAGGAACTGTCACACCCTCCTGGAGACAGACACATGATTAGGGGACACACACACAGGGTGGGGGCATTCAGACACACCAATGCACACTCATGGGGAGAAGATCAGACAGCCTCACCCTGAGACGTGGACAGATATAGATAGATGATGGACTGACCGGCCATGAGCTCGGGCCAGCGTACCCCTGCCTGCTGCTGCCCGAGGCTTGGTACCACTGCTGGGGGAGGGTGGCGTGCGTGCATCTCACAGGCAGTATGGAGGGGGCCGCGGCTCCCCAAAAATCTCGTCGCTAAGAGACAGTGCCAGTGCTGCCAAGAAGTGTGAGAAGAGGAGAGGTGGGGAGGGAAGCGAGAGTTGTCATAGTGGGAACCCCTGCCAAGAACCTGGAGGAGCATTCAGCAGAGATAGGGCCCTGCCTCTAACTCCCCAAGCCCACCGCCTCTCCCTTCCCATCAGCCAGCCAGAAGGTGAGTGGGGCAGGTAGATAGGAACAGCCCACAGAGCACCTTCCACCTGCCTCCTCCTGCCCAGCGCAAACTCCATTCCGGAGGCCCACCCTCTTCAGACTTCCTGGGGCCCTGCCACCCTCTTCCCCACAGCCGTTGCCCCAGTTCAGCTCCCTCGTGCCAAGACTGAGTGCAGCACTGGCTCAAACATCAGTTAGGAAATAGCAGAAGGTGCTGAGGCATCAGAAAGCGTAGATCAATCGATGGCCTAGGAACCAAGACTGCCAGGAACACCCCCACCCCCAGCCCTCCAGCCCTGTCCAGCCCCATCCATGCGTACTAGGCCAGCAGGGATGACAAAAGCATAGGGCTGTGAAGGAGTGAGAGGCTCAGATCCTCTGCCCTCCCCTGTTGAGAGCTCTGGGGGAAGCCGAGCCAAGGGAGGCAAGGAAAACAGTTGGTCCATGAGGTCCCAGGGCCTCAGGAAGCAGGGCAGGGGGAAGCGAGGCCCAGTCTCCCAGAAGACAGGCCTCCTTCCCTGGCAGGTGTTCCCTTTCCAGCGTTCAGGCCATCTGCTCTGTCCCCACAGTAACATGTCGGACCCTGAGATGGCATGGGTGCCTGAGCCCCCAGCCATGACACTGGGGGCCTCACGGGTGGAACTGCGGGTGTCCTGCCATGGACTCTTGGACCGAGACACCCTCACCAAGCCCCATCCCTGTGTGCTGCTCAAGCTCCACTCTGATGAGCAGTGGGTGGAGGTGAGAGCTCAGGTCTTTCCTTCACTAACCTCCTGGCCTGGGAAGGAGGGAAGGTGGGTGGGGACATCGAAAGCCTCACAGGGGAATGTGGGGACCCTGAGGGGCCTCTTCCAGGCTGTGCGGGTAACCTTGGTGATGGGTGTGCCATAATTACAAACACAACCCGTTTTACAGCTTCTAAAGCCCAGAGTTCCAGAGGTTTCTGAGATGGCCCCAGAGGCAGAGGGCTGATAGTCTAGTGGGCTGCGACACCCTGAGCTCCCTGGGGGTATGCAAACCCAAGGAAAACTGGCATGATGGGTGATCCAGAGCTGGGAAAACAACCTGGGTTCTCAGAGGGCCCTCATCCTTCCTGCTGCACAGGTAGAGCGCACGGAGGTGCTGCGCTCCTGCTCCAACCCCGTCTTTTCCCGGGTGCTGGCCCTTGAGTACTTTTTTGAGGAGAAGCAGCCCCTGCAGTTCCATGTGTTTGACGCTGAGGACGGAGCCACCAGCCCCAGCAATGACACCTTCCTCGGCTCTATAGAGTGCACCTTGGGCCAGGTCTGCATTCCCACCCTATCCCACTCCCATCAGCTTCTGCCTCTGAGATCCAAAATAACAGAGAGCATGCTCTCTGGCAAGTTCAACCTGGGCTTGGACCCCATCTCCTCTATTCACTGGTTGTGCAGCCTTGGCAAGACAGTTAACCTCTCTGGTCTTAGTTTCCTCATCTAAATAATAGGGGGTCACAGTGCCTAACTTAAAGCTGCTGTGGAAATTAAGTCCAACCTTAGTCTAAGTGGCACTTATTACCCCTGTCCCTTTTACCCTGGCCAAGGCAGGTGGGGGTATCACAGCTGGGTCTCCCTTTACCTCCATCCCCAGATTGTGTCACAAACCAAGGTCACTAAGCCGTTGTTGCTGAAGAACGGGAAGGCTGCGGGCAAGTCCACCATCACGGTAGGCAAGGTCATCTGTACTCACTTTTAAGCAGGGCATTCAGTGCCTCTGCATGGAAATCCATGGTGACATCATGCCCAGGATGGACCCCCACCTAAGGGAAAGGGCATAGGGTGGTCCTTGTGGTGGTAGGGGGAGGGGCAGTGCTGCCACTTGTGTTGCCCTTGCAGATCATGGCCGAGGAGGTATCTGGCACCAACGACTATGTGCAACTCACCTTCAGAGCCCACAAGTTGGACAACAAGGTTGGAACCCCAAAGTCCAGGTCCCCCACTCAAGACAAATCCCAGAGTCTTAGCCCTGTTCCTTTCTCAGTGTTAGCCGCCTCACCCTGCAGACCTCACCAGGCTCATGCTCCCTTTCCCCTAAACCCCCAGGATCTGTTCAGCAAGTCTGACCCTTTCATGGAGATCTATAAGACCAACGAGGACCAGAGTGACCAGCTGGTCTGGAGGACCGAGGTTGGTGCCTAGGGCTATGGGGAAGGAGGGAGGAAGAGCAAAATAGAGAAGCCTAGATAGGAGGTGACCATCTCTCTGGTGCCTCTCCAAGGTGGTGAAGAACAACCTGAACCCCTGCTGGGAGCCATTCCGCCTGTCCCTGCACTCCCTCTGCAGCTGTGACATCCACCGGCCTCTCAAGGTGAAGCCCCACCAAGCAAGGGCCGCCTGCTCGAGCACCTGGCCTCTGTCTGAGACCTTCCCCCTGAGTGTGGCAACCCCTTTCCTCTCCCCCATGAGAAAAGATCTCACTGTGGGGCAAAGAACTGGTCACAGCTCAGTGTTTCTACACATGTGCCTTTCATCAGAAGCCAAAGTCCTTGCCAGATTGAGCCAAAGAATGAACTTCAGCAGGTGGCCTCTCTGGGCAGGTTGAAGTCATCCATTTGGGCCTAGAGATTTAATCCCCCTACCTCCCTGAGTCCCTTCCCTGCCCCCCAGGAACCACTGCAAAGCATCCCTGACCCTAACCCCGCCTCCTTCTCAGTTCCTGGTGTATGACTACGACTCGAGTGGGAAGCATGACTTCATTGGCGAGTTCACCAGCACCTTCCAGGAGATGCAGGAAGGAACGGCAAACCCTGGACAGGAGGTGCCACAAAGCCCTCACCCCACCCCCTAGAACCCCCTCCCAAGATCCTTGGGAGACCCCTGAGGGTGATGCTGAAGAGGCCACCCTACGTGATAGGAGATGAAGACAGTGGAAAGTCCCTAGGCTCAGCTTAAGGACTGAGCCATGGGGGTCTTGCTCTGGGAGGAGGTTGAGGGGTCACCTTATAGAATTGTGACCCTGGGTTTTTGGGATATGTGGGGTCTAGATGCAGTGGGACTGCATCAACCCCAAGTACAGGGACAAGAAGAAGAACTACAGGAGCTCGGGGACCGTCGTACTGGCCCAGTGCACGGTAAATTCCAGTGCCAGCCTCAAGCCCTGCCCCAGCCCCAAGCCGTACTGCAGCCTCGCATTCAGCTCTGCCCTTGTTTCAAAGACCAGTTTCTCTGCTCTGGAAACTGAGAACCCTTGCCCTATCCCACTTCCAGCTTCAACCTCAAAAATTCTGGTCCCTCCACTTCCCCCACAGCACCCCACCTAGCTCCCTCTTTGAAGGACCATCCCTCCACCTTACCTCCTTTGCTCCCACCAGGTGGAGAAGGTACACACCTTCCTGGATTACATCATGGGCGGCTGCCAGATCAGCTTCACGGTAAAGGCCCAGGGAATGGGGACACAGGCAAGATGGAGGGACTAAGCCCTTAGTGAACATAAGGAACCTGGAATCCCCTCTGCTCAGCTTAAGCTTCTAATGAGCCTAGCATGGTCACCTTGTACCCCTCTTCCCACCCCATGATGAGGTTACCAGTGGGCTTGCCCAGTTTCACCTTAGTCCTCCCTGCAGACCCTAACTCTGGCCTAGCCTCTCTGTTGGCTCTCATGGATGCAGCATGTCCCTTTCCTCACCTCCACCAGGTGGCCATCGACTTCACTGCCTCCAATGGGGACCCAATGAGTAGCCAGTCCCTACACTGCCTCAGCTCCCGCCAGCCCAACCACTACCTGCAGGCCTTGCGTGCCGTGGGAGGCATCTGCCAAGACTATGACAGGTAGGAAGGTGTGGGGGGCAGGGGTGGGGAGACAGGCAGGGAGGCCTTGCCTGATGGGGCTCACTGCTTTGTCTTCTCCCCAGTGATAAGCGGTTCCCAGCCTTTGGCTTTGGGGCTCGAATTCCTCCCAACTTCGAGGTAGGCTGGGTGCAAGGGGAAAGAAAGGAGGAGATGGTGGGAGAGTCAGACAGGAAGGAAGGATTCCCTTGCTGCTCTCACCTTACCTTCACAGGTATCTCATGACTTTGCTATCAACTTTGACCCAGAAAATCCTGAGTGTGAAGGTAAGAGAGGAGATTCCCACCAGCCCAAATTGCCCCCATAGTTTGCTGCACACTCCTGTATACCCCATGCCAGGGCACAGACTCCACTCCCATGGGCCCAGCTCCCTGCCCCTTACCCATCCAGAACCTGTCTGCATTGGTAAGACTTCCACCCCCTGGCCCAGCAGCATCTACCCACCAACTACCCCAATCTGGACCACCCACCTCTCCTACTTACTGAGGAAGGGGTGAGAGGAGGGCACCTCCTTGCTTTAAGGGGTGTCAGGAAGAGCTCCCTGCTAATCTCTGCCAGCCTCACCTCTGCCCACAGAGATCTCAGGGGTCATCACCTCCTACCGCCGTTGCCTGCCCCAGATCCAGCTCTATGGCCCCACCAACGTGGCCCCCATCATCAACCGTGTGGCCGGGCCAGCCCAGCGGGAGCAGAGCACTGGCCAAGCCACGGTGAGGAGAGGAAGGAGGCAACCAGGCTCTGTCCAGGTGGCCTCGGATAGGGCCAGGGCCAGGACGGGGGCTTGGGGCAGATGACAATGCCTTTGCACACGGAACCTGTCCTTCCTCCCCTCCGTCTGCCCTCAGAAGTACTCGGTGCTGCTGGTGCTCACAGATGGCGTAGTGAGCGACATGGCCGAGACCCGCACCGCCATCGTGCGCGCCTCCCATCTGCCAATGTCCATCATCATAGTGGGCGTGGGCAATGCTGACTTCTCTGACATGCGCCTGCTGGACGGCGATGACGGTCCCCTGCGCTGCCCCCGAGGGGTGCCCGCGGCCCGCGACATCGTCCAATTCGTGCCCTTCCGGGACTTCAAGGATGTGAGTGACCGATGCCCTCTCCCAGCAGAAGGACTCCTCAGCTCCTCATACCCCTAAATTTCACCTGCTCTTTTACCCAGTTGATGTCCTTCCTGATAAGGACGCTAGAGCCCAGCTGACCACTGGGAAGCTTCGCCCCTCACCTGACCCGGTTCCCATGCTCCCGCCCCTCACCACATTTCCTCCCCCACCCGCAGGCCGCACCCTCTGCGCTCGCTAAGTGCGTCCTGGCCGAGGTGCCGCGGCAGGTGGTGGAGTACTACGCCAGCCAGGGCATCAGCCCCGGGGTGCCCAGGCCCTGCACACCGGCCACCACCCCCAGTCCTAGCCCTTGACTGCCTCCCAGCAGATCGACACTCCCTCAGCCTTTCAGTGAGTCCTGAGAGCCCAAAGGGGTGGACACTAGGGGGTGCAAAGCGGGGCTTGGTGGAGCCCATCTTGGCCAGGTGTGGTGTAGAGGAGGGTGCTGATGACTGTCCCACCCTCTCCCAGGTGCCTGTCCTGACCCTTGTGACTCCAGTGACCAGTGCCTCTCCCTCTTGGACCAGCTATGCTCCCTGGGTCCTGGAAGTGAATGGCGAGCCCTGCCCCATCTCTCCAGGTCCCATACCCCTCAGCCTTATGGCCCCTCAGTGACTATCTTCAGTGATCCTGACTTTCTCGCCGTTAATAAAGGAAACTACTCCTAGCACCTCAGCCTCTACCCATCATGTCTCAGATGCCCACTGGGCAGTCCGTAGCAGCCACACAGACACCATTAAGAAATGAGGACCGCAACTTTTGAAATCTGGGCCAGAGCTCACCAGGCAGCCAAATGTCTCTGCAGTTTCACCCCAAGTATGTTACAGTGAGATCTGAGGAGCTCCTACCCTTACCTCCCAACCCCAGGGGGCCCAAGCACCATGGGGGTTAACTGCTGGAGATGGGGGAGGTAATAAGAGGCTGTCAAGGGGGCAGGCTGATGCCTTTGTACAGCTGTCTTCAGAGAAGCCCAGCTGAGTCCCCGGGGCTGAACCCCAGCCCCCATACAGCTGTGGAGTGGGGCCCAGAAGGGGTGTGTGAGGATTTAAGGAGGGTAGCATGTCTGCTGGTGAATTATGAATACAGAGGGGTCGTCTAAGGTCTATACAGCCTGGTTTTCCTGGTTGTGTAAATGTGTGCGTGTGTGTGTGTGTTTATGCACTATACATCCCTGACTCGCCATGAGTGTGGCCTTAATGGTTCAGGAAGTTCAGCATGTACATTAAAAATAGCAGCATACATTATTGTTTAGCCAAAGAAGAGCTGGTAGGCCTAGAACTTGAGCCCAGACCCATCTGACTAAAGCGCCCACACTCTTAATCACTAGTGTGCACCTTCTGTGTGGAGTGTATCATCTGTGTGACCCTCATCTTGTGACCCAGGTGTATGTATATATGGCCTGATTGTATGTACAGATGTAGGTGCCTGTGGATACGCATCTCTGCCCATGTGTGTGCCATGCAGGGCCTCGGCCAGTTAAGGAAGATATACAAGAGCAGTAGTGGGTCTCAATTACAGCCCCAAAGAGCAGGCGAGAACACAGGTGAGATACAGAATGCGGGAAGAAGAGCTGGACTCATGGAGAGACCCTCCCTACCCCAGCTCTCCCTTCAATGATGCATGTGAAAGGGGATGAAGGAAGAGAGGCTAAAGGTTCTGTGAGCCAGCCACAGCCAGAGAGGGTAGCCAATAGTCAGTAGCCAGTGGTGGGAAAGAGAAAGAGACAATAAAAAAATCCTGGGGGAGATGGAAGGGAGGCCTCCCATTGTAGGCTCCTGAGTGGAGGAGGGACAAGCTGGGCTAGAGGAGGGGGAGGAGGGAACAAGAACAGGGATGAGAAGGGACAGCTGGGAAGGGGGCAGATAGAGGGGGCAGAAAGGAAGAGAGACATATGGGAACCTCTTCCCCCACACCTGACTGCTTCTCCCCATTTATTATATCCCTTAGAGGACCTATGACAGTGGCTGGTGAGGTTGTTGCTCCCAGTTCAATGTCTCTGCTCTGCCCAGATCCCCCACCCACTCTTACCATAGTCTGCTGAATCAGAGAGCTGAATTACCATGGCAACTGTGAGACCTCAGGATAGCTATAGACAGGCCTGGCCTGGTCACTGCTGCTTCTCTCTCTCTCTCTCTCTCTCTCTCTCTCTCTCTCTCTCTCTCTC